TTCGATCCCCAGTCAGGGGCGTGCAGGAGGCCGATCAATGACTCTCTCATCATTGATGTCTCTTTCTCTCTCTCCCTCTCCCTTCCTTTCTCTGAAATCAATAAAGATATATTTTTAAAAAACCCAAAACGTTCTGGCCAAGTAGAGCCTCTGAAACAAAAATGCAAGGCTACCACAGCCCATTCATTTCAGTCCTAACCATAGTACTAATTTTATAGTCACTTGAGCAAATAAATGTTTTGAAACACCCTTTGGAGAACAGCCTAATGTGTACGTAATTTTTTTAAATTGGCCATTTGAGACATCGCTGCTGAACTTGAACATTCCGCTCTGACTTTGAGTAGGACAGTGGTGCCAGACAGGCTCTTCTATCTTTGCGAAAGCATTCTAAACAAAGGCCCCGGACACAAGATTCGCTATATCTAATCACCATGGGGTATGAGTTGCCACATCCATTTCCGACTTCAGTCTCTTATTGAGTGTGGGGTGGAAGTGGGGGAGCTGCCAAGGACAGCCAGTGGCTTCACCTAAATCTTTCAGTTACATGGAACTGTCTGAAATCAGGCAGAAAAATACAAGTTTCATTTGTGCCCCCATTTACACTTAGACAAAAATAACCATGTACTTAATTCAGAGGTAACGTTCTGATTCTATGGCACCGTAGTTGCCAGTTTGGACTTTGTGGTTTTCTTCCCTCCCTCATTGAATAGCAGCCGTGAAATCTGAACAGAATTGACCCTCACCCTCCTGTTCCTCCTGGCACCGTCACTGATTTAGGCCTCCCAGGCCTAAGGCAACCAGCTCATTGCCTCCCTTTGACCAGAGGGGTTGGTCAGGGCTTGCCCAGTCATGGCAAAGCTAAGAACTCTTCTCTTGGATACAAATAAAGGGAACTGGCCTTGATGGAGCCCTTGGTGCAGTGAGAGTATAAAACTGTCACTAAGCCTTCACATCAAACGTTCCTGAAATCTACATATTTCTCAGATTTCCAGGGATATAAGCTAAAAAAGGTTTAAATTGGATTTTCTGTTACTTACAACCCACAACTTCATAAATAATATATGCCCATCAGAAAAATCAAGTTATATTTTACTTCCTTGCTTTTTATGCCAGGGGTTCAGCTCACAACTCCCTGGAGAGGCATGCACAATCAAAGCAGGTGATATCACTTAAGCAAAATGATTTTCCTTCACGTCTGAAGTAGAATTCTGAATTTGTGATTTGTTTGTATATGCACACTGCACATACATTTCCCCCCAGTTTTGAGATACAATTAACATACATCACTGTGTAAGTTTAAGACATGCAACCTAAGAGTTTGATTGACATGTAGTGTGAAATGATTATCACAGTAGGTTCAGCTAATATCCATCAACTCATATGACACCATATAAAGAAAGAAAAAAATTTCTCTTTGTGATTAGAACTTTTAGGGGAAATGTTTCTTTGCATTATTAGGAAGCCAAAGAGGGACCTGTGAGATAATTAATCCAATCCTTTCATTCATTTTACAGGTTCATTTATTCAAATATTTATTGAGCACATACTATGTGCCAGGCACTGTGCTAAATAATGGAAGATGCAGGGTGCCCTCGAGATGGCCTCATGAAACAGGGAGGCCAAGACTCAGCGAGATTAGGGAAGTGGCCCAAAGTCTCACGGCCACTGGACTTGTAAAAGAGACTTCAATCCCAGTCCAGTGCTGTTTGCCACAATATGAAAAAACTTGTTGGAAGAGAATTAATATTCAAAATGAGCTTGTTCAGGCTTGTTTAACTTCCATAAGAGAAAAACTTTTCAAGAAGCATGCCTCCAATAAGCTTACTGACTGCTTTGTTAGCGACAGGCTAGAGCTGGGGAAATAAAGTCATGTTCCAGTGGGGCCAAAGCAATGAAAAGACAGAATCCTGGCCAGTGGGATGCTGCTGTGGAAGCGTGTTCAGGTTGCCATGGCAGCCAGGCGGCCTGGGGCCAAAGCTGCCCTCGAGGGGTGGTGGCCTTTGAGGAACAAGCTGGCATTAGAGAGGCCTGGGGCAAGCGGACTGTGCAGGAATGGGCAGCCTCTCCCCTAATCAGTCTTAATAAAAAGAGGATTGCCGTCTTCTCAGCAGTTTCTGACAGCAGGTGCTGCCCAGTTTCAAACACCCAGCTCCTTTGTCTCTCCAAATTGGAGCCACTTGGACTGACTACAGATCCTATTTTGGGAAATGGGAAAATGAAACCAATATTTGAACAGATCTTAAAGTACGAAGTACAAGGTGCTCGAGTTGCTGTGAGTGGTTCAAGTGGCTAAATTATTTTACCCAAAACATTTGTTCCAATCACACACCCAAACACAGTTTTAACTTTTCTCCATACGCAACAGATCCATAAATGTTTTGATTCCGCTGGCGCCAGCCTCAGCTAGGCAGCTTGTGCCACATCGTCAGTCCCATGTCCACCTCTGATCTCCCCTGGGGCTTGGCTGGACCCTATAGTCCCTTTTATAAGATACTTGAGGCTGGGCTGGTCATCAGTGGTAGGGACAGGCAGAAGGCACTCACTGTCCCACGAAGGCAGCTCAGAACCTCCTACCGTCCATGCTGGGGGCCTCCACTTGCCCCAGGGCTGCTTCCAGCCATGTAGTTTGGTCTCCATGACCTCAGCTCTGTTTCCTTACTCAGTGCTGGCCTCTGCCCGGTGCCCCAGGCAGCAGATGAGCCAGAGCAGTCGTGATGGTGGCATTTCTGACTCCTTGTCTCTCAGTCCTCACTGCATAGTACGGACTAGCTCTTAAATGTTCCTTACAACTCCAGATGCATCCAGGGTTAAAAAAAAAAAAAAGGGGG